AATAAACATTTAAAACCAAAGTTATCCACTAATTAAATTAATATGTTAGTAAACCTATTCCACATAAACATAATAAACAATTGTTATCATCAATTAATTCACACTTTTCCAAACGCAATTGGTGACACTGTAATACATGCAAATTAACATGAATTGTTGTAGAAATGAACTATCAACGAAATAAACTGTCGACGAAATGAACTTTCGACGAAATGATTGTCGACGAAATGATTGTCGACGAAATGAATCAGACCCTTTGCTAATGGTTGATTAACTAGTTGTTTCAAGAGTCTAAATCTTTGTTTTAACCTTGCATGATTAGCATGTAAATTTTTATCTTTTTTCTTCAACCTTGCATACAGTTTCATAATTTACTTGCTTAGCACATAAAGTTTTTCCTCTTTGCTTCCATTTTGCATGCTTAGCATGAGAAGTTCGAAATTTACCTTTCCACTTTACATGTTTAGCCTGAGAAGTTCAAAATCTTCCTTTCCATTTTGCATGCTTAGTATGTAAAGTTTGCAGTTGCCCAGCTTGAACATTACATATCTGATGTAGTTGATTAAAATTATTTATAACAGTATTTAATTGACCATGTAAATCATTTGCCTGATTAGCCAGATTACCAAGTTGTTGATAATGAACTTGTGCTTGATTATTTTCCCAGTCAGTTATTTCTTATTCTCTGCAGGAATCATTAACAATTATAGAATATCTCTTTAATTCCAAACCAATGTTTGAGGGTTCCTGACATAATCATCTATATGCACATTATTATCAAGAACCTTATCATAAAGATCAATTAACTCATTTGGAGCAGGTGGTTGAGGAGTATTTAATGCCATTTTTCTTTGACATGATGTAATCTCTTTTATTCTTGTTTTAAGAGTCAAAATCTTATCTTCAAGCCCAATCAATTGATTATCCCTTGATGTTAAACCTTCTTCCTTATACTTAACATCTTTCAAAGCTTTCTTAAGTTGTATTGATAATGATTTATTCTCTTTTTTCAAAGTGTCAATTTTATCCTCCCTTAATACTAGTGAGTTTCCTAGAAGATTAATTTCTTGATTATGGTACTCAAGATCTCGTTCTAGGGATTTAATTCTAGTCTTATATTCAGATATAGTCTCATCATCTTCTGCCAACTGTTTGTGCAATCCTTGATTTAATTCTTTATTTATCTTTATATATACATCAAGTCTGTTGAGATTTAGGGATCTTATGAATGGGTCTAATTTACTGATACTTTTTAATCGAAATTCTTTCATTATTTTATCCTTATTTTTAAATAATAACTGCATTTCTTGATACCCTCTTTTGTTAACCTCCATGAGTTTAACTATTTTGCATGGATATTCAACTCTTGCTAAAATTTCTCCTATCAATTCTGCTGATAAATGCAGTGTTTTTAACTCTACATACTCTACCATTTCCTGCACCTCTAGAATCTCTCCTGCGTTGAATGGGTCCTTGTTATTGTTTAAGAAATTTGCTATTGCTTGTTTTATATATGTATACATTTTTGTTGTTTTTTATATACTATCATGTTATCTTTAATTGGAAACTTTTATTCCTTTACTTATTTTATTGTAATTATTTGTTTGTCTATCTTGGCTTCTGATAGTATTTCAGAGATGATACTGGATAGCATTATATGTTGTTTTTTGAAAGATGTCTGAAAATTGATTAATAGATATCAAGGAGCTTGAATGCTACAAATGGTATCAAAAATGTATCAAAAAATCGGTAAAAGATTTGCCATTGTCCCAGAACCATCATTTTAATACAACATTTATTCACTGAAGTCCAAAAGAGAAAAAAACAGAAAAATTATTTTAAAAAACCAATAAATGAACTCCTATTACATAAATTTAGGCAATAGCATACTTTCTACAAATTAACAGATTGTTGTGGATTTTGATTGGATTATGAGAAAACAAGTTTGATAGTATTTGTTTCAAATATTATAATTAGATATTTTTTTTTTTTGTAAGGCAGTGAAGTATCACATTAACTCATTTGTAACATATATGAATTGATCGACATGGGGGTTATAACTTTTCCAGAATCGATTTCCAAATTTGGAAAAAATCCTGACTGATAAACAACAACATGACTAAGCACTTTCTCATCTTGTAAAAGATAAACTGTTTCTCCAAAAAATTAAAAATTAAAAATTAATTGTGTCAACAACAATAACAATGTGTGCTTTTTTGTACAATCATACATATATATTGTGTTTGTGTATTTTAATTTTAAGAATAAAAAAAATAATGTCATCAGTCACAACAAAAGAAGCAAAAAGAAAAAAAGACAGCAATCAAGAGGAATCTTGATTTGAGTAAGTGTTGTTTATCATAAGAATGGTGGTGGCAGTTATCACCACTCATTGTCACTCTAGTTAATGAATTAATTACCAAGGAGGTCAGTATATAGCTTAATTTTTTGTCCACAAAAACATTTTTACAATGTATAAATCTATTGAAAATCATTTTGTAGATGGACCCAAGAAAGTGTGCCAACAACACTACAACCCAAAACATCAAAAAAAGTCAGTATGAAAATCGCAAATGTTATTTAACCATGAAATATCTTCTCATCTTTTTCTACTTTGTTGATACCACAGATTAAAATCACAAAAAGTCCCTCCGCATCTATTTTCCCAGTTAATTCAGTTGAAGAAGGTGAGGAAGAAGGTGAGAACAAGAAAGTTGAAATTAATATCAATATTAATGTGAAGCAGCTGGAAAATCAACACATGGTTGAGGTATATGGCATCTAATTTTCAATTCTCATTTTTTGCTGCATTCTTACTACTATTTCTTCTGCTCTTTAGTGGAGAGTTGATAATATTAATGTTTCACAAATATTCCACCAATATCAACTGATAAATTAAAGAGTAATGATGGATTAAAGTTGGATGACACACTTGAGATACTGTAAGTGTTGTGAGTCAGAGGTCTGAAAGCAAAATTACATTTCACTGAATTTATTTTTTGTAATCATACTTCAGAGCACTATTGTCAATTATTGTACTTAGTTCTCCATGCCCATATCCGAATTTTACAAACTTAGAATGGCACAAAATTATTCAAACCAACCTGTATCAGCTTCAGCAACCCATTATTCCATCATCAATCTCAGATGCTCTGCTGGAAGCATCAAGGAAGCATATTGTTGGTGAGGACAGTTATATGCATCCTGAAAGTTTTGAATAGTGATGTTAGCTGGCTAAGAAATTTTTAAACGGTTTAGCCAGCTTGAGCCAATCAAATTCTATTCTCAAAAATAATAAAAAATATTCATTCATTTGTAATGCTACCAAAAAAAAAAAAAGAAAACTAATCCACAAAATAAGGATAACAATAGTATTAATAATAATGAAACATTTGATTATGATAAGTTAAATAGCAATAGTATTTGTAGTAATAATAATATTAATAATATTAATAATAGTAATAATAATAATAATAATAATAATAATAATAATAATAATAATAATAGTATTAATATTAATGGTAGTAATGGTATTGTTAATAATAGTAGTGATGTTGAACAATTAAATAATGGTGAACAATTATATGATGAAAGTGACTTTATTGGATAAATGGATCAATAACTGGTGAAGAGTTTTTTAATAGAAAAAAATTATATGAAGAAGGTATTAGTGTAAACTCCAATTCTTTTTTTTCTAATGTATTGACTGGTACTTCTAGAAAAAAATAGTCCTACCAAATCTAGCAGTTCAAGCTAGGGTTTATTTAGCTATACCAGCAACTTCCATTCCATCTGAGAGGTTGTTTTCCTCAGCTGGCAACGTCTTCACAAAAAAAAGAAATAGATTGAACCAAAATAATCTTCATAATATATTGTTTTTGAGAGAAAATTATAAACTTTTTGATCAATAAGTTGGTTAATTTTTTTAATTTTTATATTAATTGATTTTTTATTATGTTTTAATTGAATTTTTCAATAAGAATAAATAATTCATTTGATCAAATGTTAGGCTAGAAGTTTTTACCATATTCATCAGCAGTGATTTTATTTATTTTTGGATACAAATTCCTGATTGGCCAATTTAAATTTCACGCACAACGTTTAGTAAAATAATAAAAAACTCCGATTTTTAGTGAATTCATACAAAGTATGATATTTGTATTAGATAAAAAATTTATTCAAGTTCTTAGCCGGCTTAGCTGGCCAAGGTTTTCTACTGGCTAACATCACTAGTTCTAAATTGAGCAGAGCTGCTGCTCGCACTTTTAATGATCTGTAAGTAAAATTGTGCTTTATATTTGTGAAGGTCATGAAGATAATTCTTTTTATTATTCTATAGACAAGATCTACCCACCCTTGCTCCAAAGATTAGATAAGATTAGCTAAATGGCAAAAGAATCATGGGACAGCATACTAAGGATTTGTTAAGTACGCTCGAGATTCCTATGATACACATTTGTAGTAAGTAATACTACACATTGATATATAATTTTTTTTTAAACTGTAATCATATTTCAACTTAATTTTTACTGAATTTATTAATAATTAACGCAAATAAAAAATTGAATTGACATTTAGCAAAAATGTGTTATGTGGTAAATGTTTAATTTCTTAGTAATCTCAAGCGATCAGTAAAAAAGAAAGAGAGGAAATTTTATTTTTTTCTTTGGTCTTCTTTGATCTACGTGTAATTTCTTTTCTAACCTTTAAAAACTTTTGTTGTCATAATGTATTTACAACATTTTAATATCAATCATGAATGAAATTGAGCTTTCAAGTGATTCTGAAAGCGAAAGTGGATTTATACCAACCACCACATTTTTAGTGAATGTTCCTGGAGACAGTGTGTTATTGAGGAGGATAATATCTGTGTCCAACATCAACTCATAGGTTTTTCAGATTTAATAAGCTCAAAACAAGCAAGTGTTGTACAATTGCATGTCTTGAATGTATAAAAATTTTTTCACAGACAAAGCCAATTAAACAAGTTGGAAAGTTTGGATAAGCAAGAGCTTTAACACTATTTTTGACGCAAAAAAATAGATTTATGCGTATTTGTAAAAAAAAAATGAGTTATTTCCAAATAAAAGCTTTTAAACATTTATTTAATTAACATGCCAGATTCAATTTCGAAAATTTCGAAACTCATTATTTAAGAATGTAAAGAATATATATAAATTAATATTAATATAGTAAAAATCACTGTGATTTTTCACTAGTGGCGAAATTTAAAATCATTCTAATAATCAAACAAGCTCACAACTGAGAACGCAATGTGAGCTTTTGCTTTTTGTGTCGCAAGAACAAAAAATTCATTTATTTTAAGTTGGGTTTGGGATTGCATCTTCGTCACAAAGAGCAAAAAAATGACATCACTCAGGCCAAGACAGTAGTCTATTTATTAAATTCCAAAACATATAAATAGGACAGCTGTCCCCACATTTTTTTTTTTTGAAAAATTTGAGTATTTTCATGTAACAAAATCGGATCTTAATCTTTATTATCATCCTCAAAAAATGATGATTCATTGTTGTTTGCTACTAATTGCTATAATTGATCCATAACAATGAAAATTAACAAAAGAGAGAGGTCATGTCACGAAGGGCCAATACACCACCAGCAAGAGTTTCACTATCTCACTTGCTGGACTTTAATAATACATTTAAGTGAGTCATATGGTTGTGCCCCGAGATGAGTACTAGTAATGGAAATATTCCAACTTTTTTCAAGTTGTGCATGGGATATATACAGTTTACAACATTTCATTCTATTCCATAATTTTTATTGCGTAATCTAAAAAAAATAAAAAATTCAAAATAATTCAATAGAAAAAGTAGAGTTGACAATAGGTTGCGAGTTTGTGGAAGTAACTGTTAAATACAAGATGTATGACAATGTACAAAGCTTCCAAAGAAGTTTGTAAAATATACTGATGAACATTTGTCAATTATTCAATAATTTGTATAGGCACAATCAAAGTAAGTGCTAAGAAGTTTGCAAATCAAATAAACGTTTTATACTTAATGAACACTTTATCAATTATTAAATAATCATATAGGCGGGCTTGATCAAAGTAAGGTCTATGAAGCTTGCAAAACAAATGTTTATCAATTATATAGGTGGGTTTGATCAAAGTAATACAAAGCTGTTTGTAAATATATTGAATGAACGCTTTATTAATTATTAAATAATCATATAGGCGGATTTGATTGAAGTAAGTGTTAGACAAGATCTATGAGGCTTGTAAAACGAACGTTTATCAATTATTCAATAATCATATAGACGGGTTTGATTGAAGTAAGTGTTAAAGTCAAGGTCTATGAACTTACAAATCGAGTTTGTAAAATGAACGTTTTATCAATTATTCAATAATTATATATGCGGGTTTGATCAAAGTGTTAAGGTCAAGATTTACAAAGCTTGCAATCCAGCTTTGCAAAATGAATGTATAAATTAATGATATATACGTTCCAAAAAAAACAGGACAAATGATAATTTGTAAATTGTAAAATGTTTTTTAGCATTTTTAGTAATAGACAATTAATTCAATTGTCGATTAACAAACTAAACGCATAACACTTTTCTTAAAAAGTAAACAAATCAATGGTACAATCCAAAAAACAGGAAAAATGATAACAATAATGAAAATGTTTTAAATAATAGAATGATGCTTATAAAAGTGAAATAAACAAATCAACAGTATGATCAACTAAATATTAATATTAAACGAAAAAAGAAAGACGCTTCGCCATCACCAAAAGTTATTCTTTAGGTAGCATATATATATGATAAAATAAATAAATAATGAATTCAATTATTGAAATTAAATAGCTCTTAAATGTAAAAATAAAAAAGGTATTCACATCACATTCAAAGAAAGAAAAAGAATCACGTAGATCGACTTCATAAAAAAATTTTCTTTTTGAAATTTACCACCCAGCGAAAACAAAATTCCTTCCGAAAAGACTAGGCGCGGCTAGACGCAAAAAGAGACAATCAGCGAGAAACCTGCACGACTTGCGAGTTTTGGAAGGAGATCGTCAAAAAATTTTTTGTGCTAATCAACTACTAAAGAAATTTTGACCAACTAGTAGTCGACTAAGGATTTTTTTGGACGATTCCAACCTCTAATCGCAAGTATATATGTTCATGAAACTCTGCCTCCATTGCATGTTCAATATCATCCTGGCTCAATTTTGAACAGTGTGTTAAGAAAAAAATTGGCCTGACAAAAACTCGAATTACTCAACAAAACACAGGATAATTAAATAAAATTAGATTCGTTTAAAAGCAATAATTACTTTATTGAATAAAAAAAAACTTGATACAAAATGATATTGCCAATTTTTGTAAGGTCAAACAATGCCTTCTTTTTAAGCTTCTTTAAATTTTTGTCTCTGAAATTTTAACATGGAATTTTTTTTAACGATTGCTCTAACACAAAAACACACATAATAATTATACAAAAAATGAGTCAAATTGTAGTTTAAATTCTGAGGATCATGGATATAAAATTATATGTATCCATATTTTCTAGAACTTCTTCGGTTAAAAATAAAAGAAATTCGATTATTTTTGAAAAGAAAATTTTTAATGTAAAGTATTGCTCTAAAGCCTACATAATAATATGCTTCGAAATTTTTATATGTGATAATTTAAAATCTCGCAATAATTTTTATAATGTGGCTTTGAGTTTTGTGTTACTTTTTTAGAAAATTATTTACAGGCCAATTTTTTTCTTAATATACTGTATATCCTTCCTTACAGCATTCGTTTTTAAAAAACTACAATGCATAATACGATCCATTATATAAAATCCTTTCACTATATTAATATCATGTCATTTTTTTACTTGCTCTACCACATTAGGCTGTTGCGCGTTTTTGGTAATACGAGATCATGTCCTGTCGTCGTTGCCAAAATGTAAGATTGTGTCCGAGTCTCGAAAGATATTTGTTTATTTGTTTAAATGCCAATAATGTTAATATTAATACAATTTCTTCCAATTTATTTATACTAAATCGTAACAACAATTTCCGCGAATGTATATTTATGCTTTGCTCTCAAAATTATTTTTCACTATCGTTAAACAATTTCTCGATAGCAATGCTAAACAATATCTTCTTAGATTTCACACTATATCCTGATCACGTTTCTTGGTGGATGCCATTCTTAGCTATTACTCCCTACTCAAGTCAGTTACGTTTCCCAAAACTACTAAATAAGATTCATTAAATAATATCTCACTAAAAGACAAGAAAAGAAATAAATAATAATAAAAAATAGAGACAAATATAAAATATAATATTCAAAGGCAACAAGGACAAGGACAGTTTGTTATTTATTAAAGGTAATGATTACGAGAATGATTAATTGATTTATGATGATTGATTTTTCAATACATGAAGTTAAGAAAATTACAACGTTAGTTATGCATGTTAAAGGTTATATCATCTAGTTCTCTGATTTCTTTGAAATCCTAATTTGTTTTAATTAAATACACTATTTGAACCTTCCATGTAGAATTATCTTCGAGTTACAGTATGAACATTAATTTAAATTCCTTTATTTAAATTTAATCTGAGAATTAAAGGTCTGTTACATTTTAGA